TGTGCTGAAAGAGAAAAAGTTCAGCTTGGTGGAACTTGTTCATCTATTCTTCACTGAAACCAAAGAAATCTGCAGCTTTGAAGACTTCCAGGTTCTCTTCATCTTGGATGGTCTGGATGAGAGTCGACTTCCTCTGGACTTCCACAACAAGGAGATCCTGACTGATGTTACAGAGTCCACCTCAGTGGATGTTCTGCTGACAAACCTGATTAGGGGGAAACTGCTTCCATCTGCTCTGCTCTGGATAACCACACGACCTGCAGCAGCCAATCAGATCCCTTGTAATTGCGTTGGTATGGTGACAGAAGTCAGAGGTTTCACTGGCCCACAGAAGGAGGAGTACTTCAAGAAGAGATTTGGAGATGAGCAAGCTTGCAAAATACTTTCCCATGTAAAGACATCACAAAGTCTTTATATAATGTGCCACATCCCAGTTTTCTGCTGGATCACTGCTACAGTTTTGGAGGCTGTGATGAGGAAAAAAGAGGGAGGAGAGCTGCCCAATACCCTAACTCAAATGTACATCCACTTCCTGTTGGTTCAGACCAAAATGAAGAAGGTCAAGTATGAAGGAGGGGTAGAAACAGATTCCAACTGGAGTACAGATGACAGAAAAATGATTGAGGCTCTGGCAAAATTGGCTTTTAATCAGCTGCAAAAGGGAAACCTGATCTTCTATGAATCAGACTTGAGAGAATGTGGCATCGATATCAGAGCAGCCTCAGTTTACTCAGGAGTGTTCACACAGATGTTCAAAGAGGAGAGAGGGCTGCTCCAGGAGAAGGTGTTCTGCTTTGTCCATCTGAGTGTTCAGGAGTTTCTGGCCGCTCTTCATGTTCATCAGACTTTCATCAACTCAGGTGTGAACCTGATGGAAGAAAAACAAACAGCTGTGCCAATATTATTCAACAAATCTAAAACAAAATTACTGCATCATAATGCTGTAGACCAGGCCTTACAGAGTCCAAATGGACACCTGGACTTGTTCCTCCGCTTCCTGCTGGGACTTTCAGTCCAAACCAATCAGAAACTCCTGAAAGGTCTGCTGACTCAAACAGGAAGTAGCTCTCACAACAACCAGAAAACAGTCCAGTATATAAAGAACAGGATTAGTGAGAATGTGTCTGCAGAGAAAACCATCAATCTTCTTCACTGTCTGAATGAACTGAATGATCGATCCCTGGTAGAGGAAATCCAACAGTCTCTGGCGTCAGGAAGTCTCTCTCATGATAACTTGACTTTTGCTCAGTGGTCTGCTCTGGGGTTCATCCTGTTATCCTCTGGAGAAGATCTGAATGTGTTTGACCTGAAGAAATACTCTGCTTCAGAGGAGGTTCTTCTGAGGCTGCTGCCAGTGGTTAAAGCCTCCAACAAAGCTATGTAAGGATACAAAAAGATTTTTACTTGTTATCTAAAACTTTAGGGCATTACAACATATGTCTCACTATGTTAAACACTATAATCAAATGATTTTGTACTTTTTATTAACATAACAGACAGTTCAAACTGTTTTCTACTCATAATTTTACGCAGACATATAGAAGATGTACCTGATCACAGGAAATTAGAGACGGACAGCCAGTCACATGGATGGTGGTTATGTCTTTACACTTGATGATAAAAAAGTTGCAAAATAGATTTAAGCATAAATCAATATAAAGGTGGAAAAACACTGATAGAAGTATAATCAAGTGTATCTTTGTTGGGATTGGTTGATAATTAGTTACACTTGTCAGTTTTGTGCAGTTGAGCAAGGACAACGTATTAGGCTGAGGCAAGGACTTGTTTTCAGGGCTTCTACTAATAAGATCATCTGATCTAGTTAGTTTTTATTACTTATTTTGGATTGTTTGAAATGTTTTGAAGCATTTCATTGAAAAATTGGGGATTGAGGGCTCTCAGTACCAAGATGAGTATTATCTTAATATATTCAATGTAAAGCAATAGAGACATATTAAGAAATCTTTACATGGCATTTCTATATATTTCCTTTGTATTGAAAAATATTGTGCTGGTAGATAATACACTTAGATAGAAGAGTGTTTTAACAATTTGCCTTAACAAGATTTTGCAATATCTACTTTATTAAGTCATCATATTTATGTTGGGTTCCCTCATTTTTGTTGTCTTTCTTTAGACTAAGCAGCTGTAACTTGTCAGAGAGAAGCTGTGCAGCTCTGTCTTCAGTTCTCAGGTCCCAGTCCTCCAGTCTTAGAGAACTGGACCTGAAAAACAACAATCTGAAGGATTCAGGAGTGAAGCTTCTGTCCGAGGGACTAAAGAGTCCTCACTGCATACTAGAAAGGATAAAGTAAGTATCATTAACCTTGATTGGCCATCTTAATATTGATTTTTGTCTATTGATAGATAGATCATACATGTTATCTTCAAATGTAACTTTTAATCATTTTGTATTGACCTTAGTTTAAAAAAGGAAAATCCAATTTCTATTTTTTAATAAAACATATTTAATGCAAAATGTACGTTGCACTGGCATGATGAATAAAACAAACAATGGCAGGTTTATGCAAATTTTGTTTTTAACCTTGATTTTAAGCAACAAGTTTTTCATAAATCTGTTCTTCATTATTGGTAAATAAGGAATAAAGCTGCTTCTTCAGATTTAAGAATAGGTACATACCCTGGACTCAAGAAAGGTAAAAGCTATGCCTTGAGTTGATCTTGAACTCATTAACGACAAGGAGTCAAACCCATTACATTTATGGATTTATTGTTTCAGTCAGTACCAACTGTTACCTTACTGTCTTTTACATGTTCCTTTACTTTTGTTAAAGTCCAAAAACATCGTCATAGCAAAAACAATCTAATATAAGTACCCCGGTAATAAAGTCCTTAATTAAATTAATTTACCCTTAATCTGAGTAGGAAAATAAGATAATCTGCCAATGGAATGAGCATTTTTACTGTTCAAATAGATAATTAGATAATATGTGCTTGAAATAAGAGACTGCAGTTGTTTTGTTCTTATTTTAAATGTTAATTGTCTTATTCTATTGACAAAATGTCTCACTTACCTCCTCAATTCAAGAAGAAATGCACTTATATTGAGAAAAAAATCACTTGCTTGGATTTCAATTTTTACAGTGTATAAAAGGGGGGATGGAGGTGCAGTTTGATACTCTGAATGCTAGGTTGCTGGTTAAAACACATCCATGCAATGTATTAGTTTTCTTAGGGATATCAGGGGAAAATAAGTTAGATATCAATGAATGCTAAACATTTTAGACTGATTCTGGTAAAAAAAAAATAAATAAATAAATAAAGTCTTGAAAGCCAATTGTGACTTTCTCACATCTTACATTTGTGCTTACATTGTGTCAGTCTATCACATATATTTTTAACAGAATAGCCTCAGTATTGCACAGTAAATCATGATGTCGATTTCTGTATTTACAGCTTGTCAGGCTGTCTGATCACAAAGGATGGATGTGGTTTTCTAGCTTCAGCACTCAAATCAAACCCAAACCATCTTAAAGAATTGGATCTGAGCTACAATCATCCAGGTCAAACAGGAGTAGAAATGCTTTCGGCAGGACTGAAAGATCCTCACTGCAGACTTGAAATTCTCAGGTATGGTGAGATCCTCCATTACCACTGAGAACGATGCACGTTAAGTCTTTAAAAATGTTCTTTATACTTGTAGCAATTTACTCTTTATTCTTATAGCCGTTTAAGCATTTTTCATTTACGATAAGGTCCTTTTTTCATTGCTAATACAAAAAAGGAAAGCTAATTTGTATTTGCCTTAAATGCATGATCAATAATTTCCCCCCTTGCTGTACATACAATTTAAATGCATTGCTCTATATTGAGGCTTGTGCTTCAGGTAACCATGAGCTGTTGGTGAGATGATTTTTATGGAAGGAGTTTCTGTAGCATCTGTCTTTAACTAAAAGCTGTGGGGGATGTAAACTACACCATTCCCCCACAATAGTTATAAAAATTGTTTTCCAAGTTTGAAGATTTTCGCTTCCCATCCAGGAAGCTTTTTCAATTCAAAATGTCAGAAAAAGCATTGAGTTTGACGCATTACACAGTAACCCAACAAACCCTTTTATTTACTTAGAAAACATGCTAATTGAAACGGGTCCATCCATTTGGAATGGGGGTCGGTTTACTTCTTTTGTTAGCCTGCAACGGGTGTTGTTAAAGGAAATAAAGGATTAGAACTACAAGCAATGATGCTGCATTTAGTGACGAAACAATTTGATGTATCTGTGTAAATGCAAAATTATTCCTTTATTAGCGTAGAATAATATTTTAATAAAGGCCCTAGAGTTTATAGTTGACTGGCTTTCTCCTTTCAGATCAGAGCCTGCTGGTGAACGATATTTAAAACCAGGTCTATGGAGGGGTAAGTTTCTTTTTTTTCTTGATTCATGACAACAAAGCAACTTGCATACAAACACATCCAAACTGTCTATATTGTTTTGTATTGCTTGTATTTTTGTTAAAATAGGAATAAATGGTTTATCTGAATGTTTGCTGTTCTCTCCATCAGATGCATGTGAGCTGACATTTGACCCAGAAACATTACATCCAGACTTCCATCTATCCGATGACAACAAGAGGGCGACACATGTGGAGGAAGCTCGCTCATGTTCTGATCATGTAGACAGATTAAGTGTTCCTCAGCTGCTGTGTTGCAAAGCTCTGACAGGTCGCTGTTACTGGGAGGTTGAGTGGAGAGGAAAAATCGAGATAGCATTGAGTTACAGAATACTCAAAAGGAGAGCTCAGAGTAAGGAGTCTCAGTCAAGAAATACTGATGAATCCTGGTGTCTGAGCTGCTGTGATGAGGGTTACACTATCTCTCATTATAAGAGCAGGAAACTCCTTTCCACAATGTCCCCTCCCTCCTCCGTCTCTAACAGAGTCGCAGTGCATGTGGACTGTCCTGCTGGCATTCTGTCCTTCTACAGAGTCTCCTCTGGCTCACTGATCAACCTTCACACCTTCAACACTACGTTTACTGATACTCTTTACGCTGGATTTACAATCTCACCTGGTTCCTCAGTGTTGCTGTGTTGAGACTTCAGAACATCATTCATTGTGCTTCTTTATCCTGTAAATATGTGTTAATTTAATTCAGGCAATTATTTTCAGACCGATGGATTTATTGGGTCTTTGAAACTCTTCTAAATAACTCCATTATCTAGTCCTTTAAAGATAAAAGATCCTAGAATTAAATTATTCTAGGATCTAGATGTCATCTTTTTCTAAAGCTCTACTTTTTAACAGAGAGCAGGCCATCTTCCTCCTTAGAAAAGTTTTTTGCTGACAGATAAGACACTGATCTCAGAAATTAATTTTATTTAAAAAAGCTATCATATTTGATCACTTAAACAGATAAATAAAATTAGAATTATGCTACTTTACATCATGAAATTCTTTCTTTCTGTAGTATCTCGCCAAACAAACTCAATAGCCTATGAGTTGATGTTTTTCAGATTCAAATACAGAGGTGTCAAAAGTATTAATAAATATTATTCAAGCAGAAGTAAAAATCCTGCTGTTTAAAAACACTTTTGTAAAAGTTAGAGGATTATCTTCAGCTTTTTACTCCAGTAAACGTGCAAAAGTGCTATTTAAAAAAATCCTTAAAGTATAAAAGTAAAAGTAATGCAGGAAAAAATGTTAAGAACAGAAGCTTTACTGCTCTACTCTATTAAAGGAACATTTTTCTACAATTCTGCATGATAATTTCCTTAGACTTAATTTTCTTAGTTTTATAACTAATGGTAACAGTGTCACATTTTACTTTGCATCATCTTGAAAAGCTATTTATTTTGGTATGTGGTGAACAACAAGTTGGGGCAGCACCGAGTCCAACCACAAGGAAATTAATTTTTTTATAAAAAAAAAAGAAAGAAATTATTGTCTAGATGAAACAAATTATTTTGATGGTTTTTATTTTTTCAAACACCAAGGACTAGAAGTAAAAAGTTGTCTAAAAGATAATTAGTCCTATAAAGTATACATAGCTAACATTTCTACTTAAGTTAGGAAATGAAGTATTTGTACTTTGTTACTTGACACCTCTGCTCAAATGTGCTTCACCTCATAATCTGCTGCAGAATATGATTAATACCCAGATAAAATTAGGAATTCATTACGAATAATTAACGCAAAACTGATGTGTCCATGTAAAATATAGATAAATGTGTTATTTCTATGCATTGCTCTCCAGTTATATGATGAATTTATCTTGTATATCTATTTATTTTTTACTTTTTAATTGATTTTTAAAGCTAATGCTGCTATGATGTGTTTAGAGTCAAACTTTAAATGCTGTGTTCCAATCTGTCCATGTCTTTTGGAATTTCCTTTCTCTTTTATGTAATTTATTTTTCTTATAGCTGCTCTTATCATTTATTTTATATTACTGTGTACTCTGTCAAAAAGAGCAGAATATTTCCATCCCTATTATTTTCTCAAACCTTTGTAAATGTGATCTTTAGTAGATTAAATGTCCCTTAAAGGAATGATACCCTTACGTATAAAAGTCTGAACAAACACAGAACAAATCCAACCAGCTGTGTAATTGTTTTAGTTAGATAAGATCCTTTAAGGATTACTTGAACTTCACATTTATCTGAAGTTAAATTTTTAGCAAACCTAAACTTACCTTCATAAGACGGTTAATTCCTGCAGAATGTTCTGGTCTCTCCATCGGGTAACAGTGTTTACCAGGTTCTTATGGTTTATATGGACAAAAGAATGTTAAACTTAAGGTCATTTATTCATGTTTTATGTGCAGAAGGTTTATGGGACATCAGTATTAATCATATTTAGGGTGCAGGATAGGAATGGACAAAACCTATTAGATATATATTAGATATATATATATATATATTTTGTAGGACCCCCTGTTCCATAACAATGACTCTAATATGGGTCTCTGGTTGTGTTTGACGTTACATTGCTGACATTTGGTGCCTGCACTTTATCTTAATCTGCATATGGGGTCTCATGATTGTTTATATTGAAAAATAAATATCTCTTGTCACATTAGTTTTGTTTTTTATTCTTTCTCAATGAAATATTTCTGAACGGTATTCTTAAAAGGACACAACCTGTGTAAAAATTAAAAGCTTCTTTCAAATGATATCTCGATGCATTAGGAGAGAAAAGGTTCTAAATCTACTGGGTGGTTTATAAGAAAGTAACTTTCCCCCTTCATCAATGATAGTAGCAACAGCTTCCATCAAGCATGCTGGGATAATTAGGTGCCAATCCTCTTTGCAGCAATGGTAAGTTTTGGATAATTAAGTTTAACTGGAGCGCATTAAAACAAAAATATAAGGGAATTCATTTCAACCACCCTATTTTTCTCAACCTCTTGATATTTTTTGATTCAGCAGAACTAAATCTACAATTTCTTTGGGCAAATACGATGATAACAAAAACAGGTCATTATAGTTTAATTTAGGAGCTGATATTTAGCCTCTTTCCATGTTTCTTTCTTGATAATGACCTAAATAGGTCCTTGCGTAAATAGCCACTGCATTGTTCTGCAAACTGTTAGTTTGAGTTAGAGTTCGGAGATTGCCCAGGCCTGTTTAACATGCTTCTTTCTAATTTTCTTTCTAAGTCCTGAGACAACTCTTTTCTTTGCTTCCTCTGGTCCATGTTGAGTGTGGTACACACCATCTAACCAAACAGCAGAGAGACTACCTGTGGCCCTATATAGTATAGGCCCACCAACTGTGTAGGATAGATTGTATTTATTTCTCTGTATCTCTGTCCATCAGGGGCTGCATTTCTTTTTGTGCATTGATTATGTTGCAATGGGGAGGCGGGTTTTTAGGGTTAAGTGTCATTCTGTTCAGGTGCTGCTAAATGAGAAGGAGCAAACCATTTTGTACTTTACTTAGTTTGAAGTTATGGTGGTTTATTTTCTACTAAATTGAAATTTTAAGACAGCGGAACTCAGAAATAAATAGCTTTAGGAATAAGTCCAAATGAAGACCGGCATGGCAATTCTTGATTGAGGCACGTAAGACCAAAGCCAACCAGGAGTATTAGAAACCTGTACCATGAAATATAGATTTTAGCCACTAAAGACTGATTGCAATATGTAAAGACCAGAGACGCTAATTATTAGAGACACCGTGATTTAATATGTCCCTTTAGTCACTTTAATTTCAGCCTTTTTAAGGGATAACAATGTTTTTTTTTTAGCCTGTTTATGTCAGAGTTACTGAGGGTGTCTATCCCCATCAGTCTATGGGTGACATGCATGGTAAATGGTAAATTACCTGTATTTATAAAGCCCCTTTTTTTTCAAGTTAGGGGACTTCAAAATACTCTTTTCTACATTCAGTCATTCACCCATTAACGCACACACTCACAAAAAGTGGAGCTAGAGCAGAGCCACTGCTTCACCGGGGCACACTGACAGATGTGAGGCAGTATACTGCTGTACACAAGCACTGTGAGCGCTCTGACGATCAATCAATGCAGGTGAAGTGTCTCGCTGAAGGACACACCAACTGAGATGGAGTTTGCTGAGATTTGAATTGGCAATCAGTTGGTTGCAGGATTAACTCCTATGTCCCACGTCAACCTGGAGAATTCACAAATCTATTGCAATGCAACACAAAGACAACCATACTGTACAAGCCAGAATACCTGGAGAGAATGCATGAATGCAGGGAGATCACATGCAAACTCCAGGCATGCAGAAAGGCCCTGGGATGGAAGTCAATACCTTCTTGATGCAAGAGAACAATGGTAAAAACTGTATCACCTGGCAGTCTTCTGGCAAGCATGCTTAGAATCAGGATCTCCCAATCTCTCTTTGATTGAGGAACTGTTATAAAGAATAGAATAGAATAGAATAGAATAGAATAGAATAGAATAGAATAGAATAGAACAGAATAGAATAGAATAGAATAGAATAGAATAGAATAGAATAGAACAGAAAATCCCTAATTGTCCTAGAAAGGGGAGACTTTGGTGTTTACAGCATCAAAAAGATTATAGAAAAAATGGTAACACCTTAGAAAAATGTGTAAGAATAAGATACTGGTGAAGAGTTAGAAGATGAACAATAAAATTGTAAAATGTCAGCTGACATAAATATCTAATAGGTTTTGTCCATACCTGTCCTACATCCTAAACATGATTGTTAAAACTGTTCTCTAAAGTGTTTTAACAATATAAAACTGTGCACTATGTTATGAACACTATGAGTGTGATTAAAAGTACTGTCCAAATTCTGTTTAAACTTTTTCAATAAACAATTTACCACTTTGCATTTTAAAGTATATCGGATTTGATGCCCTTTAGCTCTGCAATTAAAAGTTTAGATGCTCCAATTGTTTTCTATATGTTTTACTAATGAGTTACTTTAACTGTCTGTATACTTAGACTGTTATACGGATCATGTCGTGCCTTTTTAAACTTAGCTCCAAGTGAGTCTGACAGCTGTGGTTGAAAGACAGTCAGAATGAAAGCCAATGGTGGACAGATCAAGATAAAAAGGACTTAAAGTCTCTAAGTAGACAGCAAATCATTCATGGAAAATGACAAAAGCTTAACCAAAACTTCTTCATGCTGCAGATTAACTGTAGACATAAAAAGCAAATCAGTATAGAAAATCTCTTTTTCGTATCTAATATAAAAATAACTAGAACTTGTGGTTCATCATTGCCTAAATCAGATTCATGTCAGCAGACATTTGATGGAGAAACTGTAAATCCAGACTTCAGCCAAGAAGACGACTCATGTGGAGGAAGCTCACTTTAACAGTTAAAGTAATATACTGTGGACCCATATCTGGTTTTATACAGTTATCATATTTAAATTATTTCTTATGGTCTATATTAGGGTTATACAACAGTGCCCTGAATGGCATGAAGAGTCGTTTTACATTCCATGACAGAAATTCTACATGAGTGCTTACAAGAAATTGAAAAGAGGTTACACAACTGCATTATCAAAAATGGAGGATTTGCTATATTTAAGCCTAATCCAACCAAACATCTAAAAGAAACAATAACCCAGATTCTATGGCTTAATAATCTCTCGATAAAGAGAATGACACTGATGTGCGTACATCCATCTCAGTATGAAGATGCAAGCATGCTTGGTGTGAGGGATTGCCTTTGAGTCAATGAGCAGTCAGCGGGTTTTCCTTTGAAGCAATCTGAACATGATAATGATCTGGGTGAATGGTCTCTGTAAAGTGCCTTGAGACGACATGTGTTGTGAATTGATGCTATATAAATAAACTGAGCTGAATTGAGTTGAAGGTAACAGACGGCTTTCTTCTCTCTTTTTTTTTTATAACCGTCACAACATCTTGCAAACGTGGAGGGTGAGGTTGCTTGAGAACCCAAATGCAGAGATTAGTTCTTGTAGGTTTAATGAAAAACTGAGGCAAACATCCAAAAACGCAAAAATACTAAGAACCAAAAAAACATTATACATCAGGGAAAACCCACATGGGGAGCCAGAGACAAGGAAGGAACTAACAACAAGAACCCAGCACTGAAGAACTGCACAGGGAGAGTATATAT